CCTATTCCATCATCCAGTCGATCAAGTAGTTCTTGTTCACGAGTTTTCCAACGTAATTCATCTTCATCAACACGATGACGTAATCGCATCACTTCTTGTTCATAACCCTCCAATATTCCTTCTAATTCATTTACCTATAATAGAATATACATATATAATTATAGTCTAGTCAATCACCCATAAACAATATTTATAGTTATCTATAGTTTACAAATTATATTACCTTTCTTCTGAGTTGTTGAACAAGCTCACATGCCCTTTCTTTTTCTTCAGTTTCAGCGTCCAACTTTGTCTGTAGTTGTTTCTGTTCATTCCTACGAGATTCTCCTGTTACAGCGGCTCGTTGAAGATCTTCTTGAAGAGCTTTACTTGTCTTTTCAGTTTCTTCAAGTCTTCTGCATGCTTCTTTGCATTCAGCATTTAAACGAGCACGTTCTGCTTCAACTTGATTACATTTATCTTCTATTGCAGCAATCTTTTGCAAGGCATCTTCTAAATGTCTCCCTTGTTCGCGTTTATCTGTTTCAGATTTTTTAATAAGTTCCCGTAATTCCCTATTTGAATTTTGATATTTTTCTTTTTCAATAGTAGTTTCATTCAAATTTCGCCTAGTCTCCATCAAATCTTTTCGAGTATGATCAGCTATTGAATCAGCTATAAAGAAAAAAAATCAGGTTAAAAATTAAAAATGCAAATGAAATTTATTAATACTTACATTCTTTTAACTTTCTACTAATATCATTTAAATGTGCCTGGAAATTGTCGAGTTTGTCTTCTGCCATACACAGTTGAGATTTGATTTCCATACATTCTTGGGCGTGTCTATCTCGTTCCGTTTGAATTTCTTCTATTTGACCAATTAACTGACATTTTTCACTTTCGGATTGCATACGGAATTCATTTAATTCATTTTTGATCTTTGATAATTGTTCACGTAATGAGGTCACTGAACCTTTTTCATTCTCTAATTTTCCACGTGTTTCTCGTAGTGAACGTTCGTAGCTCTCTTTTTCACCTTCTAATTCTTTTTTGACACTTTCTAATTTGCTAACAATAGCTTTTTGATCTCGATGAACTAAAATGAAATGCTTAAATTACTAAATGTTCAATTACTAGTGTAATTTTTTTTTCTTAAACATAAATAATTTACCTAATAATAAAGTTTGTTGTTTGTCGTTTTCAGCCCTCAAAAGCGCTTCATCATGTTGCTGTGTTAATGTGTCAATATTTTTTTGCAACATATCTAATTTTTGTTTTAGTTTTTCTATTTCACAGTTTTTGCTTTTACTCAATCGATTTAAATCTTCTTGAATTTTTCTTTCATAGTTAACTTTGAGAGTTTCCTAAATAATCAATAATAAATAAATTATGCTATAACAATAATTTATAATTTAAGAAAAAAATATATTTCAAATGTCAATTACTTTTTCGCTAGATAATTTTTGAATATTTTCCTCGGCCTGTTTCTTCAGTGTTTCAATAGTTTGCTGGAATTCTATTTCCAGAGCCCTAGATTGACTTAGAAGTTCAGACTTAGTGTGATTAGCTGCTTGCTCACAATTTTCTAGATCTTTACACAAACGATATATTTCACCTTTCATTGATTCCTAAGTAAAAAAAAAAAAGTAAATAAATGTTTAAATACAAGCTATTTTAATGTTATACTTGTTTTATTAGTAATTCTTGTTTTTCTCTTTCCGTTTGTTTACATCGATTTTCTGATACTTCCAAATTATGTTGCACATCATATAATATTGATTCGAGATTTTCTTTCTCTCCGCAAAGAGAAGATAACTGTCGTTCCAAATTATCCAATTGCTTAACACAACTATCAAGAGCAATCTGAAGAATAATGTTAGTTAAGTTTTTTCTTTTTAATAGAACAAATTTTATGATATAACTTTACCTGTTTTTCTTCACTTTCTTTTACAATACTTTGAAGTTGACTATTTAATCTAGAGTTGGATTCTATTGTATGGTCAATTTTTTGATTTAATCGCATTAACTCTTCATTAAGAGATTGTTTCTTATGTTTTTCATTTACTAATTGATCTTCCAAATGAGATCTATCTTTCAATAATTCTTCTAATTCAATCTCCAACTAAATATATAATTATTGATACATTTAATACTTATAGCTCATATATTGATATTTTAACAATGTATTATTATTATTGTTATTATGGAAGTTAAAATAAAATAAATTAACAGTCAAATTACAATAAACAATTTGAGTAATTTAAAATGCCAAGATATTATTTTGCAACCATAGTATAGACATCATACTAAAAAACTGGACCCGTGAATTGAAATTAGATCTGAGATGGATGGCGTTCTTAAATTTATGGGTGGCTGAGGCACACACGCAATACTACTTATACATATACATACACCATCATGTTCTGGTTATGATAATCACTTAAGGAAGATCTTAATCTGTGCACCCAACATGTAATGTTAGTAATATAGGCATGGTCTATGATTGTAACGGTAAAAAGTAAAATATATTACAAATTAATATTTCATTCACACACGGAATTGAATTTCAATCAAGACATAATAATATAGAAGATAGTTCTTCACTGTCAAATATTCTGATTTGATTTAAAATTTAAAATTTAAATATTTTTGGCTGATAAAAATATTTTTATTTAATTTATATTCATTATTTAATTACCTTTTCTTTTTCCAACAATACTGATTTCCATTTTTCAGTTGCATTTGACCTTTCACTTTCTAATTCTTGCTTATCTTGTTCCATTTGAAGTAGTTCTTTTCTGAGGGCAACTAAATCACTAGATAAATCATCTACTTGAACTTGTAAATTTTTTTTGTCTTCAACTAATTTCTCATGTTCTTTTTGCAAATTTTTTTTCTCTGTGTTCCCGTCCAGAATAAGTGACTCTGCCTTAGCTAATGATTCATGGCAATCAGTTCTGTCTGATGCAATTTTTTCTAACTCAGATTCAAGATCACCTAAGACAATTGTATAATATTAAATGTAATAGTATGCTTGAAAATTAAATAAAAAATAATTTAACAAAGTTAATCTTAACATATTTTACAATATACATTTAAACTACATTGTTCAGGTCTAGTTATAACACAACTATGAGTGATGATTTATAGAAAAATACTGAATTCTATCGTTTATACTTTACGCAAGTTAATGATACGGATCTTGATTACAAATATTGTTATTTTATTGGTTTATGCCTATTACATTAAAAAATATTCTAAAATATTTAAGAAGTCAACTAAACATTAAACGACCAGTCACCTTGACTCGACAATTAAATTTTGATAAGTTGTTAAATTTATCTTACTATTGTGTGACCTGACATAAGTGTTTCAGTTTATAATCAGTGGCATATTTACAAGGGGGTCCAGGGATACTGAACCCCTTCCCCCTCCAGAACCCCCAAAAAAGAATAGGTAACTACAAATATTTTAATTTTAATTTTAAATTATATACTATAATATAATGTGGATGATGTTCATACAGAGACGTTAGGTATAACAATAAATAAAAAACGTTTTTCTAATATCAAATACATATAAAATGTTAGTATTCAAAACATTTTGGACCCTCTCCCAGAAAGAAAAAAGTTGAAAAAAGTTGAAAAAAGTTAAGAAGAAATAAGCCACTGTTTATACCTAATTAGAAGTTTAATATTATTATAGTTATATACCTAATTGAAAATCAAAAAATACTATTGATATTATTTTATGATACTTGGAATCATCAAAAATATTATTCATTGTATAAGAATATATTTTAAATAATAACCTTTATTTTTTTCCATTTTAGCTTGCAAGATTTCAAGTTCCAGACATCGTTGTTCTAAAAGTTCTTTATCCAAATAAACTTGATTTAATTCTTCTTTAATACTGATCAATTCTTCTTTTAAACAACTACACCTGTCTTGTACATCATTTTCCGACAACATTCTTATGTCAATTTCTTTTAGTAATCGATCTATTTCACCTTGTTGGAACATTTTTTCGTCTTCCAGGGTATCATTTAATTTTTGTAATTTACTATTAGCCTTTTGTATTTTATCATAATCAGAATTCATATTTTCTACCTAAAGTTGAAAAAATTATTATTATTTAACTTCTTATTTTAGGTATGAGTTATTATTTATAAAAAAAAAAACTTAAATGTATTAATATTTTTTTTAGAAAAATGTATTACCACAGCGCTGACGTGCATTCTGTTTTGTTGTAATGCTTGAGCCTCATTTCGTAGTCTTTCGAGTGTTTCTGCAAGAGAATCGCGTTCATGGCCTAATTGATTATTAACATTTCGACAGTCATCTAGTTCTTTACTCAGTTCTTCAATTTTTACTTGTAACTCTTTTTCTAACATTTCTAATTGTTCACAATGTTTTTTTGTTTCTGACATTTTATCAACACAAGATGATAATTGAACTTGAAGTTCATGAATGTTTGATTGATATCTATAAACAACAGACTGAACGGCTGACAAAGTACTATCGACAAAGTTACTAGTTGCGGATACTGGTTTTAATTTTGTGTCAGACTTTATAATTCCAGTGCTAAGATGAACATGTGGTGGAGCCAAAGGTCTAATTAGATCACCAAGAATTTCTTTGTCATGCTGTAACACTTTAACTATTTCCTGCATCCCGGACATCAATACATCAACATCAATACGTAAATTATCTGCTTCTTTTTCATTTTTATTAGAATCCATACATTTTTCTTCCTATAATATGACATTTATTTTAATAAACTAGTTAATTAATTTTAAATAATAATACTAACAAATTCAGAAAGATTGGCTTTGAGATCTTCTAAATGCATTTCTTTTTGTCGCAACTGTGAGCATACAGTATCATAATCATTTTGGAGTTTTTCTACTTTATTCTGTAATGTTGTATTTTCTTTCAACAGATTTTCATATTGTTTTTCCTAAAATTTGATAGACATAAGAATTGTGTATAGTTTATAATATTTTTTTTATAGGTACTGTACTTCAGAATACGTTGATCGTTTAACAGCATTCACTAAGCCACTGCAGGTAGTAACCATGTCATTTGATGCTAATGAAAGTTCACCTCGAAGTTTATTAAGATCTTGTTGAGTTGATGATTTCATATCAGTGAACATCCTTTATACTTGAGCTACATCTTGTCATAGACTCATCATTCGTCCGTGTTCCAATGAACAATACTCATTAAACATTTGTTCTTCTTCTTTCCATTCATCTTCTTTAGCATTCATTTCATCTCTCATTTTTTCCCAATCGCTAGTTAACTTTTGCAAATCTGTAGACAGTGTTTCATTGCTTGTTTGAGCATCATCTAATTGTTCTCTGAGTGTCGAGTTTAGTTCCATGACTTTTTCAGCTCTACAATATTGAAAAGAATAATATAGTCACTGTCAATTAAAAAAAAAGAAAAATATTTTTACTTGGCTCGTTCTTGTTCTAAAGCACGTATTGCATAATCTAAGTCCATTGACTGATAATCTCTGACTGAATCACGATAACTCCTAACATTATCAATTGCTGGAATACTAGTTCTCATCTGCCTTTCCAACTCGGAACACCGCTCTCTATACTGCATTACCTGAAAAACAAAAATCATACATTTAAAATACCAATGGAACTAATGCAGTAAAATCAAAAATACCAACCTTTGCCTGAAGTCTGCTAACAAGAACTGCCTGTCTCTGTTGAGCCAATTTATATGTATCCAATCGTCTATCATACCGAGCAGCTTCTTCCCGCAGGCGCTCGTGCAAAGCCTGGTTCTCCCGAGCTAAATCCATTGGTTGTTCAGTTTTTTGTGAACGATTAGTTGGTAATCTTAAACTTGTTCGACCTCCATCCAACCGGACTATACCTTCAGTTCCCAATTTCGGAACATTTCTGGATTTACCTGGTGTAGCGGTTTCTTTCTTGGAGAACTAGTTCGATATTTAAAAATAAAAATTGTGTATAAAAAAATATAGCTTCTACACATTTTGTTGCGCAATAGCATTGAAAAATACTAGGTACAGGTATAGGTATATCTACTAAAAATGTTTCACTTAAAAGTTTCACCGTCACCCTAAAAAAGTTTTGGAAATCTGATAAAAATAAAGTTTTTAATTGATTTATCACCAGGCGAACTTTTAAGGTAGGTAAGCCAATAAATCCAAAACACTTCCGCAAAAAGTAAACGTTGTGGAGAAGGGGCCTGCGTTGAGTTCTAATCGAATGGCCGTTGAATTCAAAAATCTATTTTTGGAAATAGTTAAACGACTTACCCTGGGCATTTTGGCCACGGCCCTGCGGAATTTCTCGATCGGCCTCAGGGACACCACCTCGACAACGAGTGTCTTTTGCGACTGTTGTTCAATTTTTGGGGATTCAGGTGCCAGTGCCATCTCCATGTTGGCGTCTTCGGGTAGGCAAAGGGGTAACCGTGATCTCGCCGACAGATACGGAGACAAATTGCTCTCGTCACGTGACACTTCTGATTCCATGACACACGACAGTAAAACCTAAAGGCGGAGTTACGGATCGCATGACTGATGCATATTTCGGCACGGTATTAAATCATAACGTTTTTCTGTCATTGATTGTTTTATTTTGGGGTGAAATATGATGGGTAATAAATGAGGGTGATTATGTGATCAGATAATTTCGGTATTTTTATTATTATGTTATACAGTGGCGTTTAAAACTAAACGTGATGGGTTAGCTCGTAAAATCATACTGGCACTGTTTATATATTTTTTACTCGGAGGAAAAATGTGGGTGAAATGGTTTCAGCCTTTCAGACATTATATTAATCACAAAAGTTTTGAAAGTTGACAGCAGGAAGCGATTATAAAGCATTGAGAAATTGCATAGCGCGTGCAACAATGAGAAAAAAAAAATTATTTGTGAAAACAAACCACTGCTGGTAAATGATAATGCGGTGTTAATAGTTAATATGCACTAGGTGCAGGGTAACTAAAATAGATGCATAGTTCAATGTGTTATTTTAAAGATTATTTTAATTACGAATACTTCAAAATATTTTACCTCGGTCGGTGATCATCCATATTGAAGCCAAAAATTACCTAAAACAAAAATAAATAACGCACAAGATTAAAAAAGGCAACTATAATAATATGATATAAATATCATAACCTCTCATAATATTACAATGCATAAAATAAAAGTATATACAGCATACTTGTTCTATATTATACGAAAATGAAAGGCTGAATCCGCAACTCGTTAAAATATAAGAATTTGTGTGATTGACATTTTTTAGTGACTTCTCCAACTCAACCACAGTTATTTTATCTATTCTTTAACCACCAAACTTAACTATAAAACATTTTGTTTCGCGTGTAAATAGTTGCCAAATATAACTCGTATGATTTTTAAAATTGTTTTATAAGTTAGTGTATTAATTTTTTTTCACAAATGATAAATAATAATTAAATACGCGTATATCGGGTCTTCCTTTTAACGTAAGACACTTATTATAATACAAATTGCTGGTGTATTTGTAAAGTCGTTAAAAATAATATTTTTTTCTATTAATTGGCTACGAGACCTTAATCATATTTTAAATGTTTACTTTTTAGTGACATCGTGCATTTTTATTCCTTATTCCAAAGCAGAATATTTGTTGGAGTACATCAATTTAAAAAAACGAGTAGCTTATACGTTTATTAGGAGTTTATTTGATCATAGTGATACAGGTGTTAGAATCCAATAGTCATTATTCATCTATACTTTAAATACTTATAAGAAATATAAGTGATAATTAATAAATTAACTGTCCAAAATTTTAACTAGTATCGATCGAAATACTCTGAATAATATTTTTGTTCGCAATATTAAATTGAAAATGAATGTTATCATTCAAAAGAGTAAAAAAACTTTAAAAAATGATAGTGGTAAAAATTTAATTTTTTTCGAAAAATGTTGTTTGGTTACGTATTATAATGATAAAAATTCAAAAGCTTTGGTATTTTCTGAAATAATAAGTATCTTACGTTAAATGGATCACCATTTATACCTGTAAAGTAGGTATATATAGTAAATAGTTATTGTACAATATGTATTCATTTTTAATGTATTTAAAATTATTTTGTTTAATGTTTATTATGTATTTGTTTCGTTTAATTTATAAATACCTCTCGATATTTGGTATCCAGTACTCAAATTGGGGGAGGAGTGTGAAGAGAGGAAGGAGCGCCTCTACTATTTTTATTTCTTTTTGAATACCCTAATTATATTTTTTACTTGGACAGAGGAACGGTAAAAACTAATACCCTAAAACATTTTTATTAAAATGTGGAGTGGATTTAAATTGCTGTCAATAAAAATGAAACAATGAACTTAATGAATTTTACATTTTCTAAGTAATATCAAAAATATTTTTCTATCTTTTCTATGGTTTAGTTTTGTTTTGTATCTAGTTTAGTAGTGCACAGATATGTACATTTAACTATTATATTAATATATTATCAAATATCTGAAGACTAGTGTTGACAATTGACATAGATATGCGACCGAACCACAAACTAAAGTATTCTTTTTGATAAATATAATTTTTCATATAATTTCCTACTGAAACATGTAGCCATGTAGGTATTATTGCTATCAAACTAGGAATAACAATAATATTTAAACATGACTTTTTCAAATGACCGAATGTATGAAATATAGTTGGGAAACATTTCGAAAAATAAGGTGAATATAAAATATAAATCCTTATTCACTTATGTGTTACAAATTTAATATATATTATATTTGGAATATAATAAAGCTAAAATGTTATAACTAATCTGAAATTTAGTATTCAAAATATTGGACTGCTAGAAGAGAATCGAAACCCCCTCCCCGGGTGTCGGGGTGTGCGTTACATAATTGTGCTCTTGAAACGTAATTTTTAAATTGTTGGATTGGGCTCCTCTACTTAATAATTCCCGATTCGAGCACTGGTGGTACCTAATAAGTTTTTTTAAAAATTATGAATACTATGGTATAATTGATTCGTGATTGTATAACATAGATAACATATACAATATTATACTATAACTCCGTAACTCCATTACAAGCTTTACACTAATATACATTTATATAACTATATAAGATAGCCGATGGGTAAATCATGAGCACCCAAGTATTTTGTAATTTTGATAAATTGATGAACCTTATTTAATTTTTAAAAGAACAAAAAAACTATAAGTATTTAAAAGTTCAAAAAAAACAAACGATGTGATTCATTGTTTACCCCGTAACTGAACAGAGAATTCTACATACCATTCACCATTATTTTAATACAATTTGAAATTGGATGATTTGTAGAATGGTTTAAATACATAGGTAGTATTTAGCTAAGCAAAAATTAATTTTATAAATAGTTTAAGTGAGTATTTTAATGACTAACTTTCAACTTAATTGCTAAAATTAATGGCATTTTTTCTTTAATGTTGAAAAGTATTATTAAAAAACTTGTTTGTTCATTTTTGTCATAAGTAACGGTAATATCATTGTTCAATTATAATGGGTAAATAGACCAACTTCACCCAGCCTTGATTTTGAATACAGATATATACTAATACGAGAGTCTAGAGTACCTATTAAATTATTTTTTTTAATCTATTTTTAACCTCACGAGAAGATAATGGGCACCACTGAACAAGCTCAAGTAATATGTACCTATTATGTTTTTAAAAAACTATTAATTTTGAATCTCTCTTAGACTAATGGTTATATGCAATGTTATCAAACTATGTGTTAAATAGTTTTCATTTTTTTATTGTCTATTAATAGTTTATCTATTTAGCTATTACTTCCATATCCCCGGTGTTAGTACTCCTAATTTTATCGATAAAAATACCTATTAAAACGAAAAAACAACAATAATTAGGCGAGTTAAAGTTCAAACCACAATAATGTTATATTCTCCAACAATTAATTTGTAATTGTAATATTTCTTAACATTCGTACCTATTGTTTTTAGTGTTTTCATATTATTGTGTTTCTAAGCATAACATCGGGGTGTACAAGACAGACATCACGTTTGAACAAAACAATTAAACACGGCCGTAGCGAATGCTACCGATGCAAGTCTTTCTATATAGAACGTACTTGACCTCTAGCGTCAGTATGTATAGTAATAATAGTATACACGACGATACACCTTTGAAACACAAGCAACACAGCAGACTATGTATTCGTTACGATAAAAAGTTTGTGAATGAGGAAGAGACGACGGAAATTCTCTTCTATATAGGTGTGTATATATATATTACAGTTCAACGTGTATAACATGTACGATTTATTTGTATACAACAGCATACTATACTATATAATCAATATGTACATATTATCAAACGAAGGCTTGTTAAAACAAATCGTTCGTTTATATGATGTATTTGATGGTACGTGTAAAAATCATAATTAGATAAACCGTTATGATTATTATTATTATTATAATTTAAACACCATTTAATTATGTTAGGCGCTAAACAAATCAAAGGTTGAGAACGAGCGAACCGTACGGCAAAAAAAAAACCGATAAAACTTTGATAACGACGGTCTGAAGAACTTTGACCACTGAACGCCGAGAACCAAGTCTCTCGGTTCCGACAGTGATCGTTCGTTTGTTCACGATGCCGGACACGGTTCGCCAAGTGCCCATTTCCGACGACCGCTACCGGTGCAGCGGCGCAGGTATGGACAGCTACCCGTCCTCGCCGGCCGTCTCGCCGTCGCACAGCTTCAAACGTTCAAAGTCGACGTTTTACCTGCTGGACAGGCGCACGTCACCGCCGCCGGGCCGCCTTCTGCAGCCGCAGAACGTGACGGCCGGAACGATCCATGGGTGCGCGGCGTTCTTCTGGACGGTGGCCAACGCGCTGTTCGGTCTGCCATGGGTGAACGTGCTGCTGGTGCGCGTCCCGTCGCTGTGTCTGTGCCTGTGGGTGCAGTGCGCCTGGAAATGCACACGGGTGCCGCTGGTGGTGTCCAAGTATGTCTTGCGGCTGTGCGCCACGAGGCCAAGTAGGCTCAACAGGGGCCGATTCACCGTGCTGATAAACGGCGGCAGCACCGTGCAGACGTTGCACTTGGCGAGGAACTTTCACCAGTCAGGCGCCCGAGTGATCGTGTGCGAGATCGACGGGCGGGCAGAGCTGTGCTCGTTCTCGGTGGCAGCCAACGGCCACTACACCGTGCCCGGGCCGAACGACGACAATTGCGTGCAGTACGTGGACGCGCTGAGGGCGATCGTCGAGAGGGAACGGGTGGACATGTACGTGCCCACCGGCACCACCGTGTCGGCGTACTACGACGCGGTGGCCAAGCCGCACCTGGAGCTGCTTGGGTGCCGGTGCTGGACGCCCGGGCTAGACGGCGTCGCGGTGCTCAACGACCTGTCCGAGGTGTTCCGAGTGTGCGAGGCGGCCGGCCTGCCGGTGCCCAAGCACCTGCTCGTAAGCTCAAAAGACGACATCATCAAGCTGTACGACAACGTGTCGTTCCGGGCCGACCGGCACTTCATCGTCAATGTGGGCCAGTCCGGCTGCAAAGCGTCACACAGCCTGCAGCTGCCGGCCACCAGGAGGTCACTACGGCTACCCGGACCCGTGTCCGACGACTGCCCTTGGCTGCTTGTCCAGCACTGTCTCGGGTCGTACTACACAACGTGCACCACGGTGCAGGCCGGCCGGGTGGTTGGCAACGTGACCTGCACCGCGCACGACGGCCGAGCCACAGACAACAACGCGCTGATCGACGACTGGACCGCACGGTTCGTGTCCGCTGTCCCGGTGCCGTTCGACGGCTACCTGTCGTTCAGGGTGTGCGTGTCGCCGTCCCGGAAGGTCGTGCCGCTGGGCTGTCGCGTCGGCGTGCCCATCACGTACGCGTCGTACCGCAGCAATTTCGAACACGTCGTCATGCAGTGTTCCCCGCCGGCGCGCGGGCAACGCGCTTCCGTCGGTGTTGCGGGTGCAGTTGCAGCACACCCGAATGCGGCCGCCAACGGCGCATCACAGCAGTCCACCGAGCTCGTGGTCGAAACGACGGACCGGTATTACGCGACGGCGCTGCTCTACGAGACGGCCACCCGGATGATGACCGTCCAGTCGGTCAAGCGTCTCGTGCGCACGGTGGTCACGGAACGGGAAATGGTGTTCACGTATTGGGACCCACTGCCGTTTTTCGCCCACTACAGTCTACAGATGATTGTGGACCGCATAAACACCGCCCTGGACGATTCGGCGATACTGTCGTCGTCGGCCCAGAAAAACAGATACACCACGTTTTGATAAATACGGCGGCAGACACACGTGTACAAAACATTTAATTTATTTTTCGCTTTTGTAGGTAGCGGTCCAATGACGTGATTTGCCGAAAATTTTTTGGTCTGATATTATTACAATAATGCAGTTCGATCAGCAATACGCAGTGGCTCAACTAGGATGGGATTAGGAGGGTTTTGTCCCCCCCCCCCCCCCGAAAATATCCCTTATTGACTTAGATATAAGCTGCCTATGGGTTATTTTAAATTAATAGTTTTGTTAAGTGGGCTGCAGACAGAAGGTTTAATAATATATAACTATAATACAAGTATATAACGATCTTTAATATACTTGAGCTCGCTTAATAAATTCACTGCTAAAGTAGCCTCATTTGTCTAGTCAATTATCATCGTGTCTACAGTCTACAAAATATTATTATTATTATAGAATTCACAACGAAGCCAACCACATTTATATATACTTAATCCACTAAAAAAATAATAGGTAGATATAGTAGTACTATAATGACGAATTGTCTTATTAGTTATTGAGTTATTATACTCATTAATTAACCAGTTGATGTCTGTCATTCGATTCGCCTTACATATTATGATCTTTAAAATAATATGTTGCATAGTTTATAATTCAAGGAAACTACTTTATGAGAGGGTATTATTAGTTTTTGTAAATCACATACAATTGGACTGCTACTTGACATACCTACCTATTACTTAATTTCACAAATCTATCTATACAGTATACACAAGAATAAAAATATAATTTATATAGTTATATTAAAATGTGATACGCTATAAATATAACGGAGAAGAATATGTACATACACATTGAGATTTTTTTTATTTAAGATTATGAATATCAGCTTATTTCGTAGAATTGAAAACACGTAATACGCCGACCTATTTTTTTAATTTTTTTTTTTTTTTGTAATATACTCCAGTAGTTAGTTGCCAGGAACGAAAAACGTATTATTAGCATATTACCTATAAGGAACTGTGTTATGGGGTAAATCATGAATATATAGTATATACATATCTGGTGAGGTACCTGTGTAATATAACGTATAAAAAAGATTTGGTGCAAGGAAGTACCTGTTACGGAATAAATCCAGCTAAGCGAATTATACTACACGGTCGTTATGATGATATGGGTCATAGAAAACGAAATGCATAGTCACTTCAACACGTAACATAGTTTACAATAAATTCGGATCCCTTAAAATGTAAATAGGTGTACTGAACACGGGAATTTGGCAGAATAAAACAACCAAAAAATGATTTATCTTGGGTTCCAAAACACGAGACCAATTTTATTTATGTAATATGTATAGACGTATTATAGATAGGTAGTAGGTAATAAGTAATAAGTAACCGAGTAGGTAAAATAATATTAGATTGTATAAACCCAAGTAGGTACTATTATTACTTTACTTATTAATCATGTAATGATTTAGGAAAATAATAACTAATAATTCATTTTTTAAATCAAATTTTATATGGGCAATAACCAGCTAATTTCCTTTTGAATTCCCAACTGCTTGAAATCTCTTTTCAAATATATATTAGGTATTTCAGTTATTTCAAAAGTTATTTTACAACAAATGTTTAAGATTAATTTTGTGTATCGTGACACATGCATTTTTTAATGTAGGTACCCACTCAATTATGTAAACAAAAACAAATAACAATTGTCATAGTAACCAACTATTTTATTGATTTAAAAACTAATCAAAAATTTGCCGACAAGAATTCTTTTTCTCTAAGATAATATGAATATTATACACAATTACACAAACTATGTATTTCAATATAGTACATTTATCTTATCTTCCGTTTAAATAATATTATAAAGTATTTAAAAAAATTATGTTTCAATGTTGTATAAATACAGATATAAATGACTACATAATAATAATTATATTACATTTAATTTAGCTGTTAGATGGTAGTACTGCTGAGTGATTTTAAGATTACCCATTAATTAATTGTATTGTTATCATATACTTAGTTATTGAAATTAGTAATTACTTATGTACACAACGTACATAGAAATTATTATTGTAGACTAGATTTTTTATTATTGACATAGAAATTATTATTGTATCTAATATAAATAACAATAAATGATACTAATTATAATAATAAAAAAGTGTAATTTTATTTTTTTTAAAAATGAGAATCTGTTGGGTAATAAGAACTAGTTAATAACATTAATAACTAATTGAGCTTATAACTAACAAAGTTAAATAAATTATTTAAATTTGAAACACCATACTAAAATACATAAATGTAGATAAATGTGAGGAGTAGTCCGTTTGAAATGTAAATGTAATATTTAATCAAATAATTAAATTTATTATTAAAAAATAATTATAACAGTACCCTCTAATATAAGGTATAAATGGGTAAATTACAGTGCCGTAGCTTAAGCCCCCCCCCCCAAAAAAAAATATTAATTTAACTATACCCGTTTGTACCCCAGCAATAACAATAAAATATTGTAGCCCTCCCCCCACACCACCAAAAAGATCCTGGCTACAACATTAATAAATTAGTTAGTAAATTATATTTTACTTTCTTTTATTTAATATTAATGTAGTTCCGTACGACCTAGCCAATACTTAATAATTTTTCATTAACAGATAAACCAAGACTTGGATTTGTAAATAACTGTAGAGTAAAAATATATGATAAAATCTAAAAAAAATAAGTGTGAAGAAGGAATGAGAAAGTATTAAAAAGAAAAAAATAACAATCATGACAAAAAGTAGAAGGATCCAAAACTTTCACAACCAAAGTCAAAACAATAAAATTAATTAAATATCTAAAGGAAAATCTATAACTAGCAAATATTTATTAATATCAGTTAATTTAATTATAGTCAATACATGAAAATTATGAACAACTAAACAATATTACCAATGTGTTATTTTAAAAATGATCATTATTCGTTAATTAATAATAATAGAGAGGAAGGACAGCCAGGACAGATGTACCTTCCTATATTTATACCATAAACTAAAGTATAAAGCATTATTATATGTTGCGCAAAACTTTTGTGACCTGGTAAAATTATATTATATGATAAGTGATTTTCAAAATATAGCACACTTACTACTTTTAATGTTAATCCCATTTTCAGTTAGATATTCGTTGGAATCATATTAAAAAAAAAAACATGTGTCACGACAAAACCGAATCCTATTAGTTATTACTTATTATGTAAACAAACAATATTTGAGTTTCTGAAAATATATTTTTATCGTATTTGAAAAAATAAATAAACTATTGACTACCTACAACTCGTATTATTATTTATTATTCGTTATTATTTACTTTATATTTATTATTTTCATGTATCCGTTCTCGAATGTCGGTTATCATAATAATAATAATATACCTATAATACTATCAATTCATGTTATTATCATTGAATAAGTCATTGCCTAATAGGACATTCACAATTCGGATTGCGTAACACGTTGTGACATTAATGATAGTAAATAGTATTATTATTTTAAAAATTTGAAATTGTAAAATATAATGCAATAATAATATTATATCTGTATCAAAAAAAGATTTAAGATAATTAAAAATTAAAATTGACCTTTTTTTATCTCAACTCTCGGAGTCGTAAAGGTTTTTTAGACAGGTTCAATAATTTAAATGTTTTTAATTATAATTTAGTTAATTAAATACACAATTATGAATTTGCTTGTAATTAGTTAAGCCCATAATTTACAGTGATTGTGTTCCTCTCTCAACCAAGGTTTTAATATTTCATTCATATTTTTACTTAAAAACTATATGCCATCATGACGTCAAGTACTGTATTTTTGTTGAGCTTGTGCGTGGCAACATGTTTTACCACTGCAATTGCTGACAATGATTGGACATTAAATTTTAACAATACAAATATCGGAGAGTTGGAAATGGGCAGCAGTACAAATATAGTATTCTACGCATGGACAAATACAACCTGGGAGGACGAAGATTTACAACTTCAAGTAATCAGTTCTGATGAAGATGTAGCGTATCCTAGTAGACATTTTTTTAAATTACCCCGAAATAATTCAATGCCATCAAGTGTGTGGGAAAAATCTTTTAACTTAACTTCTGAGTTTCTTGGGTATACAAAATTATACCTTCAAGTTGTAAAAGTTGGTGAGTTGAGTATAATATGTCAATACTTTAGAAGTATTCAAAAACCTACTGTGATTACCTGTATTTTTACAAACAGAACTATTTGAACTTTTTTTCAGAAAATAATACAATACGTGTTTTAAACTCAAGCCAGGATCACATGAACATCAAAGTACTTCGAAAACCACAACTGATTGATAAGATATTTGTCATTTGTGTCGCTGTCTTGATGACTATTATATTTATCAACTTAGGATGTGCTCTAGATGTTGATCAACTTAAACAATGTGTTAGAAAACCAATTGCCCCAGCAGCTTCATTTTTTGCTCAGTTCCTAATCTTACCAATAGTAAGTTAATTTTAATTAAGTTAACTAACGAGAGTAATCAATTTATTTATTTTTATTTCAGTTAAGTTTTATTTATGCGAAGCTAATATTTCCAAATTCAGTTTCAATGCAATTGGGCTTGTTTTTTACAGGAATAAGTCCTGGAGGTGGCGCGTCTAGTGTATGGTCCCTTCTTCTGGGTGGTAATATTAACCTCAGCATTGTCCTGACAACTGTTGGAACTCTGGAATCATTTAGTATGTACTTTGGAAAATAACTTTCTCAATAGCCTTAGAAACACATTAATTATTATGATTATTGATTACTATCTAATCATATTTATACTAATGCAATATATTAATGTTGAGTTATAAAATTTTAAACAATTTTCATTGATTTGTTTGATTGTGTTTATTAATTAAAAAATATTTTATTTTGCAGTCATGATACCATTTTGGGTTATCTTTCTCGGTAAACGTATCTTTTCTGTGGGTGAAATGCCTGTTCCATATTCCCGAATTGGATTCTCTATTATTGCATTAATTATACCTTTGTGTATCGGGTATTGTATTCAGCGTTTTATGCCTAGAGTAAGTCGAGTTATGACACGTATACTGAAGCCATTGTCTAGTTGTTTGATAATATTTATAATTATCTTTGCCACAGTCACTAACTTATACCTGTTTAAAATATTTTCTTGGAAAGTGAGTTTTTTTATTTTGTTTTCTATATTGAATTATAAAATGACTTATGTATTTTATATTTTAGATTATTTTGGCGGGTGCAGTGATACCATGGACAGGTTATTTAATAGGATTATTAACATCTGTCTTTGCACGTTTATCTATGCCAGACATAATTTCTATGACAGTTGAATCTGGTATACAAAACACGGGTATTGCCATATTCATGTTAAAATTTTCTCTGGGACAGCCAGCTGCAGATATAACAACTGGTATTTTAACAAGTTTTTTTTAACGATTTTAATCATTTAATAATATTAAACTGTTGTTTATTTTAGTTATACCAGTTGCTGTTGCATTAATGACACCCATCCCCTTATTAATATGTTTTATTATTAAAAAATGTTTTGGAAAAAAGGATGGAGTAGTAAGTATTCAAGATCCAGCAACTGAATCAATGATAAACAAAAAAGAAAATGAAGGTCCATCAGCAAATTCAGAGAATGAAAATAATCAAGCGTGAATATTACCATTAAGACTGTTATAATATCACACCATGTTAGTTATTCCATTAAAATTTTATCTTTAAATATATGGATTTTAAATGTTTTTTTTTTATAAAATGAAAATTTGTATCTAATATTTTAATTAAATAACACAAGAGTGGATTTTATACCATTAACACAATTGTTTTTCTGGGCAGTTATTGACTGGATGTTGGAAATCATTAATTCAGTGATGCTTTTGTAACTTATATTTCTATATTTTCTCTTAAGGTAGGAACTATTATCAAAACTTACAATATCTAACGCTAACTTTGTATTGTTTAGTCACAAATAATAAATTTGAAGAATAGCTGAACCTGCTGAACTAATGATGAACGAATTATTATATGTGGATATTAAATACAGAACTACAGAAGATGTTGAAATCATGTTCTTTAAATGTTTTTTTTATTTTCAATAAAATTATTTAATATTTATGCATATTACTTGAAACAACTAATAATAATTATAAAATACGATAGCTTTGAAACCTATCATTAAAATCAGATGATTTATTAGAAATTCAGTTTAAACTTTTGTCCACATTGTCAGGTAAATTAAATTACATATCTGTTTTTTGATGAGCTAATATTAAATTATAAAATTATGTTTAAACAAAATGTTCACGTAAATTACTTTAAAGTTTAATAATAAAAAAAAAAAAAAATGTTACACTTATGTTAAACATGAATTACCTACATTTCATAAAATACTAGGTCACCATTAAATTTAGTAAATTACAGCAAGACATTTGAGTATAATTATAAATATTAGATAAACAAGTATTTAAAAAGTGATATATTGATGTCAAAATTCTAAAAAAAAATACCAAAAACTATGAGTCTTAATTTGAAATTGATACTTGAGTAATAACGTTTATTAAAGAAAAATAATGAACCGTTTAATTATTTTAAGTTTTTTGGTTAAAATAAAGTGAAGTTATTACACTAGATTGGAATTTAAGGTGAGCTGCTAGATCCAGAACGACTGTGCTTACGCCTTCTTGGAGATCTCGAACGAGATCTCATTCTACGTGGACGAGGAGAACGTCGTTTAATAGGCATTGGTGATCTACGTCTGTATCGTGGTGGACTTCTTCGGCGTCCACCACCGCCACCACCACCACCACCACCTCCTCCTCCACCACCACCACCGCCGCCCCAACCACCACGGCGAATAGGACTTCTACGAATAGCTGGACGTGGCAATAGCACTGGCGCACAAGTTATTTCTTGTCCATCAATTTGACCTAAAATAATTAAAGGTAAATTATTAATAATTATTAAAATTTCCAAATAAATATGATACTTACCTCCATCCATATGTTTCATGGCATTCTCAGCTTCTTCTGGCGTAGAGTACTCAATATAAGAAAATCCTTTACACAATTTATTAAATCGATCTAGAGGTACATCTACTTCTTTTATTGTTCCAAAATCAGAAAATATTTCTTGAATATGCTCCTTAGTAATGTTCCGAGTCAAACGACCAACATGAATACGACAGGGTTTTGGAGTTGGTGATCTTTCTTTCTTACGCCGTTTTGGACTACCTGATCTAAAATTATATCATAACTAGTATAAAAATAATATGCCTTAAAAGAATATTTTTTAAAAAAAAATTGAATATTAGATTAATTTCAATTTAGGATTATTACCTAGATTTTCTAGAAGTTCTAGTTTTACTTTCAGCTTTTTTTACTTTTTCCTCATCATCGCGTCTTGATTTTCTAGGACTGCGGCTTCTACTCTTTGTTTTACTGCCACTTTTCAATCTTGGTTGCCTTAAGTTATTTAAATATAATTATAATTATAATAATCTCTACTAGCATATTATATAGTTATAGTATTAAATATTAATCACTAGAACTCACTTAGTTTTTGCTTTAGCTCGGCCAGCAGAAGTACCGGAAGAACTAGTTGAACTTGATGAACTTGAGCTCGAACGTGAACTGGAGCCAGAGCTACTTGAGCTTGAACGGCTACTAGATCCTGAAGAACCACTGCCAGAGCGTGAGCTGCTTGATGAAGAACTAGAAAAACCATTTTAATATTAGTTCAAAATAAATCTCACATAACAATATGAACTCATACCGACTACTACTCGAACCACTGCTTGATGAACGAGCACGTTTTTTCTTTTTTATATTTTGTTCTTCTCTTTTATTTTCCTTATCAGAATGATCGCCTTCCATTTTTTCTTTGCGATTCTTTGGCCTATAGAAATTAAAAATGCAGGCAAGAATAATTTAAATGTATTTATGAGAACGTATAAAAAAAATAATTCTTATTTACACTTTTATCATCTAAAATAATAAGTAATTTGAATACTTGAAAAAAATAAATGGTAACATTATTTATGTTAAATACCTAATTATATCATTCATAAAGAAATCTTGTAAAAGGAAACTATCATAGGAAATTAGGAACTAAGAATATAATATCATAAGTACCTATATTATGATTCATTGAAAAAATATCAGTAAAAATCTTCAATGTATTGAAATTATATAGTTATGTTAATATACAGTTTGATAGCTTACAACTTTAAAACAGTCTTCCAAATAGTTAGTGACAAGAATAGAAATTAGTTAATTGCTACACAGTTCCCACCATGATTGTCACACAAAATTTGAAAGACCCTATATAATAATATAATATTATTTATGTATAAAATTATATTATGCAATCTTCATCCAATTCTAATTAATTGTACTATTGTCTACTTTAAGATGTTTAAACTTACAGGACCGAATTAAGAGGGGACCACGTATAAATGTACAATTGTTTTTGTTATCTAACAACTAGACAGACATGAACATCATGGGTATACAATTATAACACTAACACATGATTACATGAAAATTGAGCATACTTACAAATCAGAAACAACCATTGCGGCGTCCGCCAAAGGGTTTCCAAAACGGAACTAGACAAATTTAACAATAACTCAGTTCATAAAAACATTCACCGACAAAAACTAAACAAAAAATTTACGCCACACAAATCGGACCCTGGACATTTGTGTTTACAGACATTTGTTGTTGCCTGTCGGCTTCGGGCAGTCGTCGGTTGTTACCCGGTAGTCGGTTCATTTCCATTCGACATTTTGGTGATAACGCAGCGTCATGCGCATTTTAACCATAGACATCAAGGATACTTACGTTCGTATACCATGGTCATAGATTGTCAGGTCTGACAACTTCACATCCGCGTCATGAACGGAGAAGGAATCGTTATGCACATTTATCGCTATCTAGCAGATTAGATGTAGACTAGATTAGATTATTTTAGAAAAACCACGGTCTGGATTTCACACTGCTTCAGGCTTCTTGATTTCCGAAAAAAAATTATCCGTAATCTCTTAAAATTATATATTTTTTCATTTTTAGAAGTTCTTCCGAGACCGTGAAAAAAAAAACTCTTCTGAATCGCGGCCCTCGAGTGTCATGGCGTCGAGTCGTGCACCTCGGCCACAGATTATTTAAAATAATTAATATAATATAATTAGTGCCTCGGCATTGGGTATAACAATTTATTTACTTATTTTGGTTTTCGTGCTTTCCTGTAATAGTGCATAATATACTGTGTATTTTTTAACGTTTCCAATTTTCTATACATTATTATATCTTTTACTTCGCAAAGAAACCGAATTCTAAATAAACGGTTAGTTTACTAGATATTGAAAATTTGAATAATCATCTGCACAAAATTAACTTGAAGACAACTCGTCAATATGTTGAACATTTAACTAATTAAGTTAAAAATTAGTTACAAAAGAAAAGGTAACGGGTTATTAAACTTAATTAATATTATTTTAATGTTTTGAGTTAAGCCGAATTCAGTTTAAAATTCTACAGACACGTAAATCGTAAATGGATAATTGCAATTAATAAAAAACTATTGTAATTTATATGATAAGTTAAATAATCTCATACAATTTTAAAGTTTCTATTTTATACTCTAAATCTGTACCGGCTATTGAATGGTAACTATAATCACTTTTATTATAATATGGAGGGAGCATTCATTATTTATCAACTACTATAGTCAATTAGTCAATGTATTGATGTTTTATTGTACTGCCAATTCTATATTTTGTATTTTATTTTACTGTAATTGTTAACTTATCTTAGTTGTATACTAGTGGCTTTTAAAATATTAATAAAATAAAAGCTTTTTATAGTTCTGAGTTCAGGGATAGAAGGTCGTTTTTGATGCGTTATATATGTAATTTTGATTTTGAGGGGGAACGATTTATGCGAATTTCCAAACTGGGATTACAAATTCATGCTATGGCTAATACATGGATATTGACGGTAGTTGGAAAAAAAATCCCCGGAAAAAAAATCCCCAGTAGCATTGTACCTACCGGTAGTATAGTATTATATTATTTCATAAATTATATTATATGAAAAATAAAATTAATATTGTAAATTATGTTATTAATGAATTACTAAATATATACATGTATCATGTTATATGTATATAAAATGTATGCCACGATGGTTAAACTTTCGGCATTTTCAACAGTATACTCAAAATAAACACGATCAAGATGTAATTCCAACTGACCAATTAGTTGTTATATTTGTTTCAGTTCCAGTATAAGATTGTAGATAGTAAATATCACGCATCCTATAATCGTCGTAGATAAATAAATACCTACATTATTAGGAGGGTTTTTTCAATAGGTATAGCCAGGTAGGTAGTAGGTACGCGATTAGAGATAATGAATTTTTTTTCGATTGCAATAAATAGATGTAAACAGCGTTCAGTCATTTGTTAGAACTGTATTAGTTTACTACATAGTGTGCCCTTAAAAATGGAATAAAAACAGTACGAGGGTATAAAATTGCATATAAAGGCCATATGTATACATTACAAGAAATTCGTTGGCGTTGTTCAAAGTTTAGTTCGCTTAAGTGTCCGTGTATTTTAAAAACGTGCTTAAATTTAGATAACCCAACGTTTTTAACTTTAAATAATGACCACGTGCATGAGGGAAATGACAATTTAATTGGTGCAGCTAAAGTGAAACGTTTAATGATTGAAAAAGCGAAATCATCACATGCAACACCTAGTCAAATATATTCGGAAATAGTTGCCAACTGTACTACCATGTACTCGTAGAATTACCCCGGGAGGACTATTTAAAACGGACGATTTGAGGTAATCGAAGGCATAATGACCCAGCTAAGCTAAAAACAATAAACGATATTACTATAGAAGGTAAGTGTAATTTTTAGGTATATTTTAAAAATGTTTTTTTAAATATAAACCATATTTTGTCAATACCTACGTATATTATTTTTTCTATACTTAACTATTATAACTGTTATATAATTATATTGTTATATTGTTTTATACATATTTTGTAGGTGAATGGAGCTTATACCACGAAGAGAGATTTCTTTTGCATGATAATCGAAAATCAAACGAACGTATAATAATGTTTGCTACTGTCTATGGGCTCTCATTATTAGCTGCAGCTCAAACATGGTTTGTTGATGGGAACTTTGGACTTGCACCAAATTTTTTTACACAGTTATATGAAGTACGAGTACAAAAAGATTCGGTATTTATTACTGCTATTTATTGTATCTTAGAACGAAAAACGCAATCAACCCATGAACATATATTTCGAGTTATTATGGAAGAGTGTAAAAAGCGTGATTTATACCCTGATCCATTAAATTTTAATTTAGATTTCGAATTAGCAGTCATAAATGCAGCGAAGTTAATTTTTGGAAATGACATAAACATTCGAGGATGTTTTTACCACCTCTGTCAATCAACTTACAGAAAAGTTCAAGAACTAGGTTTGTCCAACAGATATCAAGAAGATGAAGGTTTTCGTTTGTTTTGTGCAATGATCGACAGTTTAGCTTTCTTACAGTTAAATAAAGTAAAAGAGGGGATGGAGTGTTTAAAACAAAACATACCAAATGAAGCAGATGATTTACTAATTTATTTTGAGGCTTATTATGTAAATGGCGCTTACAGACGAATTGGGAATACAACTGGAGTTAATGTTAATGTGCGTCTTCGAAGGTTATAATAACCTATGTTTCCTCCTAATACTTGGAATGTTCATGATACAACCCTTCATGGTAGCCACAGGACAAACAATCCTACTGAAGGATGGAACAATCGCTTTGCACATTTAGTCGGTCAAAAACATCCAACAATATGGAAGTTAATTAGAAAAATTAAAAAGGAAGTAGCTTCAGATCTAGCAAAGTTGGCTTTAAATGATGTAGGTGAGCCATTCAACAAAAAAAAAACTAGGGTTGACCCAAACTACCGAAAAAAAGATTGAAAGAACTATGTAAACGAATCCAAAATGATGAAATAAATGTTGAAGACTTTCTAAAAGTGATTGCTCGTAACATAAGAAAGACTAATTAATATATCGTGAATTTTTTTTTAAAAAATGAAATATTATATTATAATAGCATATGGCATATTTATAAAATAATTAAATTATAAGACTGTTTTTATAAAATAACAATTTTTAACATAAAATACAATATTTATTTTATTTTTAATATATAATTTATAGTATATTAAATTATTTATATTGAGTCAATCCCCGGTATAATAATATTGGGGATTTTTTTCCTAGTGCGGGGATTTTTTTCCGAAATTCGATATTGACACATAAAAAAATTTCGAAAAACTATTTTATTCCATCAATGGGCAGATGAGCCCTGTTTCTTACCATTATTGGCTATATATGTATATGATTTTCGTGTCTTTGATTATTGTGGTATAGAAGGATTGTCGACCGAACTGTCCGAACTCCATATCTAGACTAGAAAGTTTATGGGAACGTTCAGAGGACGTGATGTCCGCATATGTTATTTCCGTCTTACAAGTGCGTAAAATACCAAATTTTCGTGATTGGCAGATTACTTTTAGCAATTAAAAATTAGAGAGTATTAATCTCTTATACAATTTATAGGTAGGATTATTATCTTGTTCCGCACGTAGGCTTTATTAGATCTTATTATTTTTAAGTAATTTATGACCTTTTTGAAACTGCAGTACATTTTTAAATGATTATATAAGTTACTGAAAAATAATATCAATAAAAGTTGATAATAATCTTCCCCTTAAATTGTATAAGAGGTTAATTCACTCTAATATTTCAACTAACGGATTTAAAGGCGATTTTCTGAGAGTAAAATGTATGATACGCATTTGAAAGACGGAGACAACATATGCGTGTATCATGTCCTCTTAAGTTACTAACTTAGGGGACCAATGACTAACATTAGTCATTAGTGCCGTTTATTTCGCTCCTAATCGATTATTCCAACTAGACGATTTTGGATATAAAATGTTTCACAAACTAAACAATTTATCAAACAATTATTCGGCTCCTTCTCTTGAAAATTTTAAAAGTATTTTAATTTTTTATTATTTTTTATTATTTCATATTATTATTTTTATATTTTTTGAATTTTTAACTTTTTAAGTCATTAAATAATATGAAGTATGATTAATTTAATAACTGATCAAATATTCTTTAATATTAATCAACAATAATAATTAGTTGAAAATAATAGTGTATTATTCTTTATTAAGTATATTCATACCGAGATGGCGCGATGTGGACGGCGCAGTTAAAAACTGTTGAGGATTAATATTAAATATTTTATGATCGTTCCAAGTATTATTGATAATACATTTTAGTCATTTTTAAATTATGAAAATTATTATATATTTAAGCACTTTATAATTTTAAGGGCTAGTGGAGCTAAAACTTGTATTAAAACTATTTGGGGTCTTAATACCCTCAAGCCTTCTACAATATCCACCTATACTATCATATTATGTTTCCTTCCATTCTTTCTACTTTACTTTAATTCATTGATTATTCAAAATCAACATAAACTTTTTCAAATTACTAATATATTTTGTAAAAGTATGAACACTTTTTTATAAATAAATAAAAAATATTACAATTATATTTAATTGACAAAACTTTAAAAATTTATAAAATAAAAATGGTAAATATTAAATATAACATGCAGAATAATATGAACAGTTAGTTTTCACTAAATAAGAATTCAATAATGTTTTAATAGTTATTTTTTTCAATATTAATTATGGCTTTCTTAAGTTAATTTAAGTCTTAACTATAAACAACACGATTCACATGATATTAACAATACTGTTTTTATATTATATTTTTACACAAAAATCTACAACTTATTATTTTACAATCATCACAATGACAATTATGAATATTAAAATTACTTACATTATTGATTATATTACAATTACCCTTGTTATTATTGTTTTTATAATAACGTTTCCTTTAAACTCTAATAATACAACAATTATAATATCGATCTTATTACCTATACCAATTTGTAATAAGTCATATTGTATATTTTATAGATCATAGATTAAATATTATCTTATGTATACAAATGCAAAGTCTTTTATTTGGTAATGTACCTATGTATACAAAGAAAAAAATGAGTAAAAAAATAATTAAAATAATTCTGTGAATATAATAATATAATGTAAACATAAGAAGTATGCAGTAAAATAATATAAAACGTATTTTAAAGTACTAAGTAGGTAAGTCTTAGAATAGTCATATTAAATGTATGTAATATTGTAATAAACTCTTAATATAATGTATAATGTATTGCCTTTGGTTTCTAATTTGTATTTACATATTTATTTGTATTATTTTTATTGCTATTTCATGAATTACTAATTAGTAATATTAACGAATAATAAAATATTTAGTTCAAATATCAAATGTTCGGAAATAATTTGAATTTAGGTAATGCGTTAAAATTAAAATAATCCGTTTGATACAAGTGCATACCGCTGTCTGTTCCAGAGATATTACACTATGATATATGTAGCATAATATAAGGAACTTTATATTATGGTATGTTACTAAGAACTATTGATACCTAACAATTAATTTGTATGTAATCCATATTTTGGAGTAAAAAAATGTGTTCATATAAACTATCCTTTTTTGAATTTAATCAACAGTACACTAGATGTGAGGAATACAAATATCCAGATTATTGTGGAAAAAAAACCAATATAAACAGAAGGTTCTGTGATTGGCCAACCTCTCGCCAACATTGATCTCATCGACTCAGTAGATTGCGTTAATGGCAAAATAAAACTTATTGATTTTGTCACCGCGTGCATTCCTTCCACAGGCCATATTATGCCTAAAAACACAAAGTAGGTAATTAATTATTTTATACTAAATGTGATGCCTTTTCACACAGTTATTATAAAAATCTTTTGCAAGTTCAGTAAAATACATTTTTATAAGGATTAAGGATTAAAGAATAAATATTTAAAAGCTTTTGAAAATTGAAAGAGAAAAGTCACTTATGATAAACTGGGTTGTCTTCGAATGTATCTTACTAGTATGATTAAATTACGTTGGAAAAATTAAATGTTTCTCTTGAATATTATAAATCAATGCATTATAACTATTATATATTTTAAACGAACAATTTATGGATACTTGCACTTGGATCCACTATCTGTATGTTATAAACATAATTTATATATACAAAATACAGAATAATAATATAAATGAGCGTCATATTTCAATCTCATTATTGATGATTGGTACACGTACATTATTATGACCACTGTTTAGTCTCATAAATTCATAAACTATTGCTGAATTACACGTCGATGCCGGGTTATAGTAAAAAAATAAGATTGTTGAAGAATTATAATATAGATATAAAAGATGTATACATCGTTAAATGTTTAGGAAAAACATAAAATAGAAAATTATTTAATTTCTTAAGTTTCAATTACATTTATAAATACACCCAAGACATTTACATACGGGAAAACTTCAAATATTTGAAGCAATTCAAAAAAATTGATAAAAATTGAAAATTTCAATGAATTTGTGTATTTTTATTAAAATTTCTTTGGAAACTATATTTATTGTATCTTGTTTGGTATTATTTGTATTTTTTATTTTTCAAAATATCTAACTTTGGACATGGCAACATAAAGTTGACTTTGACTTAACAGATGTCTAATCTGCACACCGAGTATTTGCATTTGAAAATAAAATCATGAAAATAGGGCCAATAGAACTTCAGAGATGTCCAAAGAAATCGCCTCATGTTTTAATAATATGTATAATGTATAAAGATAAAGATAATATTATAATCATAATAAAAATGTAATTATAAAATAATACAAACCACAAAGCATGACTATTGGTAGAAAACTGCCCATGGCCAAATAAGTCGCATTCCTCTCACTATCAGTAACACAAGAAACTACAAATCCTACAACACATAAGAAATAATTTTTTGGGATTAAATTCACACTTATATTTTTAGACTACGTTTTGTTTTTATTGAGAGATTAAAATGTATGGTTTAAATAATTTCTTACCAAAACACATGCCACACAGTCCAGTCAATATCGTTAATAAGCATATCCAAAACACATCCCCTTCATTGGTAACATCAAAAATCACCAATGCGAATGCAATAACCATCAGTGATTGGAATACCATGATTAAAAGTTGACACACCACATGCCCTAAAAGTACTTCAATCCCCGTAATACCTAGTAAAATTATTTGATGACACTTATATTAATATTTGATTTATTTGTATTTAAGTTATGAGATTATATAAATTTACCTGAAACTAAACTTCTTTCTAATATGCCTTCGTTTCTTTCAATCAACATAGCACCAGACGTTAAAGCTACAGCCAAGAAAAATATAATCCTAAAATTTCAAAAATGAATTATACATTTTTCATCAACTTATTACTCATTAGTGATATGGATGGTAGTTCTATAAATATAAATAATTATTACTCACGTCAGTATGACCCCTGGAGCAGCAAAATCAGTAAAATTTGGTACGTATGGGCCGTATATGGGTTTATTAAACTAGGAAACAAAGAGGTGTACACATATATTAATCCAAATTATAAAAAGGTAAAATACCTATGTAGGTTATATTTTTTAATAGATCTTATACTACTAGACAAGGAATGTGTGTGAGGCAGCAGAAAAACATAGAGGGTGCTTTTTGTTTACTCGTTTATTCAATATGTATGGTAGTGAGGAGTAGAAGGGTAATATATATATAAGGATTATTGTATTTTTTCGTCAAAACAGCCTACCATATACAATATACATCACTGCGGGATGTTTTACCGCCGCTCATAATGCTGTTATTTTACAATTTTTGTTTAGTAGTATATTATTAAGGTCTATGATGTTTTTCATTAAAATAATAGTTAACAATTTAAAAATGTTTAAAATAATTAAAAAATATATATATTATTTTAATTAGGATCAATTACCTGAATAGGGCTTGCTACGACTTTTGTACTAAAATTACAAGTCACCGCCAGAAGTTTGGCAAAATCTTCGAAAGCAAACACGAGATCTCGTCGAAGCAGCATAGATATTTGTTGATCTAAAATAATGATTGCCGTACTTCAAAATTTTATAATTCCATTGAAGATACAATAATAATATACAATTATAATTTTCACTGAATTTATTTATTCTCTATATTTTGTATATAGGTTATTTTCATTTTGTTTAGGATTACTTGAGAACAAAAAATTAAGATTAATTACTCGATTCGTCGAGCCAAACGGAGACAACACTATCATCTAGTGCCAACTCCGTTGCATCCGTCCCATCATCCATACGTTGCATTAGTGATGTTGAATAGTTGGTAGTGAAAGATATAGCACCCCAAGCTTTACCACGTTTAACTGCTCGAAAAGCGGATTCTTCGTCGTCGAAATAGTCCTATTGCAGAGTTCAACACATGCATTAAATATGGTAAATGTTACGATGCGTAAAATAATTTTAAAAAAAATTACTTTTCACATACCATTTATTGATAAAATAGTATATCAATGATTCCAATTCATAAAAATCACTTACTAATACTTGCCGACGTAGTTCAATCTGATGTAAGAATTGGCAACTGAGTTGAGTTAACTCGCAAGATCCGGTCGGACGCGGCGGGCACGTTTTGTTGTTGGTTTCATGGTTGATGATGGCCAAGTGCAAGCCATGAGGATCTTTTCCAACGGATAGACAGAACAACACGATTTGGGCAACTGGAAGTCCGACAATAAACATCATAACCCTGTGAGCAACAGTAAAAATATATTTAATAACTTCAAAGCCAATGGTTCTAAAATATATAGGTATATGCATATTATTATTATTACACTTTTACTGTCACATTCAAAAAAGTTTAAAAATGCTATATATTTGTATCAACTTATTTATAGTTGATCTATCTAGTCCGGACTTGGTCGTAATCTACTATTTATAATAATTCTTAAGTAACAGTGTAGCACACTAATTTTGAAACAAAGTAATTTTAAATAACTTTGCTGTATAATGCGCATTATCGATTAATGATTATTTTTAGCAACTTACAAGAAAATAGAAAATAGTGTATCAAATTATCGAAAGAATATCATTTTATTTCAATATTGAATGTAAAATGGTTAGGTAAGGAAAAAGTCACTTACGCCACATTTCTCCACATCCACAGAAAGTTTTTCCATATCAATGCTCGCATGTGATGGGTCTGAAATATTTTGCATCGGTCGAAAAGTTTCATTTTTGTGTTTACTTCTGGCGGAAGTTCCATCTCCGCATTGTTGACTTGCATAGAACCTACAGACATACGCTTACTTAGTGGAACAGGACTAATACTGTCTCCAAATTCTCCGCTCATTTCTGACGTGTTGTCACAAATCGAATTTAGAGCTTCGACAGCAGGCGCGGGGGATGATTCCTAGTTATGGGTTACAAGAATTCATTTTACTATACATTATTTAATAATTACATTTTAAATTGTTTATAATATAAATTGTATGTTTTAATTTTTACCGGAACAGCAATGGCGGCTGTTATGTCATGTAAAATGCTGCTACGCCTCCGTTTTCCACGGTTTTGAATGACACTAAGCTTTAGAAAAACGTCTTCTAAAGATTGACAATTGAATTTTTGTAACAGCGATGTAGGTGATTCTTCCGCCAAAAATTTACCGCCTCTCATCAATCCAATCTGTTAAACACAGGTATTTACGATATTCAAAATAAATGTTTTATAATAGGCTTAAATAGTTAAATCTAACTGATAAAATATTAACTACCTACTTATTATTATACTTATAAATAAATAATATACATATATAGGGTGATTCAGCAAGCTTGCTTCCCCCATTTTTTCAGTGTAGTATAATACAGGCATATGTTGTCTCCTTCTTACTAGTTAGTAGTTACTAATGCATAATATACCAAAATTTACTTCCAACAGATCCAATTTTGTATTGTTAGCTCAAATATTAGAGTGACATATTAAGGTTAAAGGTAGGAACTTTATATGTGTTCTCTCGTTGGTTTTTTACGATACTTTAATTTTTAAGTGTATTGTGATGATTTTCAAGCATTACAATTTTATATTCTCATAATTCACATAAAAATTAAAATATCGTAAAAACCAACGAGATAACACAGATAAAGTTCTTACAATTAACTTTAATAATAGGTCAATTCACTTAATATTTAAGCTGACAACACAAACTTGGAACTGCTGGATCTACATTTTGATATATTAGGCGTTAGTAAGTAATGTATGCGGGTATCACGCCGTCCTCTTAAATCTTATAATGAATTGATTCAAATTCTGATTTTAAGAATTTTTAAATTTGCTGAAAGACCATATTTTTAATTTTGAGACTATATTTTTTGTACTTCCTACTTCAGGAGTATCCTGCCTCTATACAAACTTCTGTTTTTTAAATAAGAACCGCTTTATTTACAGTAAATTATTTAGTGGATCATTTTTTTTTTAAATCCCGGTGCATCTAATTCAAAATGTGTACAAATAGTTTTACAGTTATTAAAATGTTTATATTGACCATTAAGGATAATAATCCTTAAAAATTGTTTTAAAATAATATATTATAGACCTTATATTAGATATCATTGATATCAGATCTAGTGTTTAGTATATTTTGATCAATGACCATTTTTATGAACTATAAATATTGATGGATTAATATAATTAACAAGTAACAACAATAATTTTTAAGCTGCTGTTGCCCTTATATTTTTTGAACTTATTATCGTGAGCTTATTATTCTGACACTGTACACAAAGTTAAATAATTTGAGCTACTGGTTCGAATTTTAATTTTCAAATTCATTGAAGTGTATAATATTTATCATTATTATACATGCAACAATTACCATATGAGCTTGCCTAGTCTCATCGATATAATGTGTGGTTACAATAATGGTTGTTCCTCCGTCCTTAGTTAAATGGACTAAATGGTCCCATATTCTGTATAAAAAACAACACAATGTTAAAAAATGTATGACTTTATAGGTATGTTATACAAACCCTTGTCGAAGAACTGGGTCAACGCCAACAGTGGGTTCGTCCAAAATCAGTAACTCTGGATTGTGTAACAGTGCAGCAGCAAAAGAAACTCTTCGTTGCTGTCCACCACTGCGCAAAAATGCATTGAAAAAGGTGTGTTATTATTACTGATAATACTGTAAACTGATAATAATTCACATGCAGGCGTTTTCGGTCGAAGGTGTGAATTATTATAACAAATATTACAAGCAAATATCACATATTATAAAGAAATTAATTAGGTACCTCAAATTTTTTACCGGCCTATTGGCCGACGGTAACATTAAAAATTTAAGTAAAAATTCTATTTTGTCATCCACTTGATCCGGCGTCATGCCGTTTACCATGCCGAAAAACTGCATAGTTTCCCGTATCGTAAACTCTCCGTAAAGTGCAATTTCCTTTAAAAAAAATTATAATAATTTTAGAGTGTAAAATTCGATTGCTCCCGCTATACTCATAACAACTGCAGAGGTGTTAGAACATAGTTATAATAATACCTGAGGCATGTATCCGATACGTGGTCCTGGAACGCCGCTACCGGCAGATCCCGGTTTACCGCCCAACACCCAAATTTCACCAGCGTTCAGTCTTCTGCGGCCTACTATACAACTCAACAATGTAGTTTTTCCACATCCACTAGCCCCCAAAAGACCATATCTAGAAAATAAATACCACGTATACAATATATGTTCGGGGGCACAATGTAATATACCGCAAGTACCCTCTCTCGTAGTCCAACTGATAATTATAATTATTTATACCTATGTAAGTACCTATAAGTATGTATTATTTTCTTTGTGTTTCTTCTTTTTTTTCACTTTGGTATCACAAACGCATTATAATAATATGTATGACTACCAACTATATATTTTTTAATCATCACATCAATCTTGTGTAAATGTGTAATATTTATATCAAAACATGATAATTAATCGGCATATTATTTTTGTTAAGTTTTGGCTTTTCAATGTCATACTCGTTCACACAGCACATTCTCGTTGGTCAGTTCTCAGAAATCTAATTAACTAACATTATAGCTACTTACTTCTTAAACATAACAAATCAAATGTCCTTTATGAATGATAATTTATATACAATTGTGTAAAAATATTATTCTTGGGTGATTTTCATATGCGCCATTATAGTATTATTTATATAATTATACTTTATTGTATTTTACTTTGTAAGTACTTATAAGTACGTTGAACATACACTTACGAACTTTTCTTTATGCCAAAAAAACAAATTTTAAACAAACTTACATGCAGCCTTTTGGGACAGTCATGTTAAGCCCATCAAGTATAACGTGTGGATTTGAGCTCTGTCCATATTTCTTGTAAGCACGTCTTACACATACAGCTTGTTGGCGCCTCGTCCATATTGTTGACTGTTGAGTTTCCAACGGAGGCCGTCGCTCCGTCAATCCGATTGGCAATTCTGGACGCATCGCTGTATATAACATCATGAAAAACAAATAAATTACTATCCAATTGTTATTGATTAAAAAAAAATTGTTTTTGAGAAACAGAGAGAAATGGTTTTGTATTATTCTATGGGGTCCTTAGCGTGTGTTTGAAAAAAGTAGAATCATATCATATTAGTTATGAATTGTTCCTGAATAACTTAAAGGTATATAAGATATAACTATAGGGCAAATGTAAACATGTACATTGTATATCTACATCATTTCAGTCGTATTATTGGCATTCGAAAACTCACGAGTCCCCGAGCTGTTTTAATGAAACAATTAATACTAGTCCCATTATTTACTACATCAGTTTACATCCTCACCTTGTCAACTGCAGCCTTGCGAAAAGCATTCGATTTGGAAACATTTATCGTTTATGACTGTAACCATTATAATATAATACAATATTTACAACTATTCAATTATCTCTAATGACCTATAATATACTCTTTTAGCTATGTGTGGCTACACCCTAAATCGACAGATTTGTAAAAACGCATAAACCTAATCAGTCATTAAAATATATACTAATAATTTATTAATGTTAGGTATCTACTATTCAGTAATCACTATAAAAACGAAAGTGGAGGGTAAACAATTAATTATTATTCAAGTACTAAAAATAATTTAATATTCTAATATAAACCATTTTGATAGTTAACCAAAAAGATACCTAAATACCTCATAGTTTTAATAAATATATATTTTTGTTTCATTATCATTATTTTTGAAATGGGAATTTTCATTGTCTTCGGTTTCAACATTGATAAAGATTAATAAATAAAGGATAGTTATTAATGCTCAACTTGAACTCAAACCGAATACTCTACACTCGTGTATTAATATCTGGGATGCTGTTGTACAAAATAACTATACTTATGATTTTAATTATATTATATTTATATATACCTGAATAAAGCCAACTGTAAATTCAAAATTATGATTGAACAAATTTACATGATAAATTGAACATAAATTATAATGTTATTGTTATGATAATAATTCTCGAACTATATATATTGTTACATAAAATATAGGCATTTACGCCGAATCTAAAATGTACCTTGTCATCCTTGAAAATTCACATACTTAGGAATCTAACTAGTCATTGACTTACGCAAATCAACGTTCCACGGGTATTCGTTAACGTGTGGGTGAAAATAATTATAAGTGTAATTGATAGTTACTAATGAGTAATAAGCACCTAATAACACTTTTTAATAACAGGTTTCGGCGATGAGAAAATTCACATGCATAACACGTGTATTAAACAAAATTAATGACAATTTACATTTCACATACTTTGTACCGAATGTATTCTCACATACAATTTAGAACGTTAATTTGATTTTTGATCTACACTTATTCTTCTTAAGTTAATATATTATACACAATCATTATTTGTTGTATTATAAATATTAAAGCAGACATTCAAGTATATTATAATTTATAATGTATTTTCGGTTTTTATGTTTATTTTAGAGTGTCATAACGTTGGTTTTCTGGTATTGTTCAAGTGTCCCGAAAATATTTATTAGGATTTCGATATGAAAATTGAAAAAGACTTACTTCGTTATTATAAATTTGATAATTTATATTACCTTTCTCGTACTCCCGTTTTTTTCATATTTATTATTATTTATTTTATTTATCAGGATGTTTTTATTAATTTGTTCACTATAATCAATCTATATAAAAATCGAAATAAATCATTAAATATAAACTTTATACCTACAACAGTTGTACATAAAAGTTGAAAACAATTAACGCATTAACTACTGTTAGGTTAGGTTAGGTTAGGTCTACGAATAAAATGTGACAAATTTTAAATAAATAAATAGTAATTGTCAATTTTCTTTAGGTAGCTACTATTATTATGTCGATCTTATTATTCATTAACTGCGATTCTGGTTTTAAGTTTTTCTGTACATCTGATGGGTGATACCCTCCCCCCCCCAACCAGCCTAGGTCTTAGCTTAGTTAGATTTTTTTAACAAAGTATCACATGAATAATTTAGTCCCACTCATTTATTTGGATTTTTTGATCAAGTTCCTTTGCATAGTGTTTTAATGTATGTTCACGAAAGTAATGTTGATAATTCAAATAAATAAAATTCAATTTTGCTAAGGAAAAAAATATGTACAAGTACTCGTATAGAATAAAAACACCTAATAATTGACGATATAATTATTGTTGTATGCTCCCTGTATACTTATTTAAAATGTAATGCATCGATTCTGGAACCTAGCCAGGGTAGGTATTCATTTTCATTTTCATTTGATCCGTTATATATAGTGTTATAATTTAAATTTGAATACATAATATGATAAAACATGTATGATAATTATCATATATATTTTTATAATTATAGTAATTTACTAAGACGTCCTTCGCCGCATGTAAATCAGGGACACTTTATAGCAAAATAACAACATTAGTTATATTCTGTGTTTCTTTATCTAGTCAATAAACAATATAACAAATGAAATGTATGCAAATATCAGTAGAGTAAATAAAAAAATTAAACATTATTATTGTACGACAAATTCCGCTTAGGAGAGCGGGCAGTATGAGAACAGTATAGATAACAGAATAGAAGTTGACTGTTTGAAAAAAAATATCTGAAACCTTATTATAAATACTTGTTATATTTTACTATAGGTTAGTAGTTGTTGATGTTAACACGAGCTACTATTACTAAACTTCTGTAAAATATTGAGGGTGGTTTCTAGTAATTCTGGTAGAAAATTGGATCCAATTGATTGGAGAGCTCAAGACTAAAAATTACTTCTAGTATTCAAAACAATCACCGCAGATAGAGGGAAATATTAACACAACACCAGTTTTTGACAAAATACATTTTGTTATTTAGTTTTAATTGAAAAATGAATATCCATAATAATATCTATAATATCTTAAATATAAAATTGTATTGACTTCTACAATTTTCAAAATATTTTTGATTTTTTTTTTGTATTTATGTTGATAAGTATGGATTTGCTCTTAATAAAATAACTTAAAAATTGTATTAAAAATTTCTCAAATAATTAAATTACTCTAAATATTATACAATACAATTTTTTAAGTATTTAAATTAATTTTAAGCTAATTATACGATGAATTTATTCATACTGTTCAACGGTACGTCTGCATTGACTTATAATTTATACGTAGTTATGAGAGGATGTCAACGAAACATTTATGTTTTCTCTCTGACACGCGCAACATAGCAAATGTGTGTTTAGCAGAACCAACCCTGTATTGTTACTTTTAATATTTTAGGGAATTAATCTTATCATCAAACTTTAAGCTAAGAACATAACACGTGTCCCTAACCTTCAAATTTAACACACAAACTATTACGCTGCCTACTAAACTAGTTTTTTTTTAGCTAACAATTTACATTGAAAGTTTTCAACGAAATACTCTAAACTTAAGGCATGACTAACACTAAAATATTACCTACCAGTGACTATGAAACATTTATGTGTAGTAAAATATCAGATTAAGCAGTTTGTTTAGGATAATAAAGGACACAAAATTATAGCATTTTAGGAGCATACCATGTCCCATTTATTACACATAGCGTATATTTTTAATATTATTATATACTCATAAATAGCTTTAAAAGCGTGTATGTACCTTTCTATAAAAAATTAATACTTAACCTTGCTACGTTTGTATTTATTTTACTATTTTCAAGAACTAACGTAAAAATTGTATTTGTGTTTCATATAATATGGTGTAGGTACCTATCCACCTACTTTTTACATATAGCGTATGACAATACCAGAGTAATGTAAAATTGTAAACAGAAAATGAGAATATTATAAACAATAAAAATTCGGCTTTCGCAATGTTTCATTTCTGTTGTATGTGTGTTGCGGTGTGTATATATGAGCGCATGTGTAGTCATTAGACCTTGTTTACGATTTAACAATATTATGCTGTGTGTCTGTATACCTATGCCTATTATAGTATAAACAACGATCCATTCGGATATCGTATCTTGCCTCTCACGTAAAATTATTATTGATTTACATTGAACAAAACGTATTAAATATATATTATTACCTACTATAATATAGGTACTTTACACCTAATGATTCTAGTATTTTGCAGGTCGACTATATAATATAATTTATTTGTACGATTATCGAATATGAATAATACGACTATTTAAATTATATTATGCTGTGTACGGTTCTTTTTTTTATACATAATATACATCACTGTTATTCTGGTTTTACTTATAGACCTATTATTCATTTTAGTTTTTTCTTTCTTACAAAGACCGCCGATTACTTCACAATCGTACATTATGATCCACATTATGCAATACAACGTGCACAGTACACACATACACCACCTAATAGGTACCTATCTAGGTGTACTGCTTGCCGCTGCTGTTACGTCTATTATATATAATATATTATATTATATTATTGTTGTTATTATTATTATTATTATCATATATCGCATTTTATCCACAGCGCCACTGTATATAATAATATGTATACAATATACTATACCTATTATACACTGTGTGTCTGTATAGAGAGTTTTGGTGTTTATTTGTGCATACATATTTTATATATACATATTCGTTTGAACAATTGCTCAACCTCATAAGTCACAGTCTGATTGATGTCATACGATTTGTTAACCGCAGTCGCCGTCGCTAGGCTCATGAGTACTCGTAGTTATAAAATACTCACTATAAGTATTATATTATTAAACGTTATTTTATTCACAGAAATGAAAATCAATTATAAGATGCGTACCTGTGTACAGCATACGAGTACCAAAGTATAGTATGTGGTAGAGACGTTGGTCACGATTATGCAAGTTTTCAAAGTATTAGGTACAGGGTGCCTCGAAGAGTGGAATAAAACGCATTACCTTGTATTGTCAATGACGTGTCGACGTCAAAAATCAGAAGATGAACGTCTTATTCGACGACGTTGTTGCGAACGAACG